GCTAGTAATCAGCGCAGTTGTGTTGGAACCTACCAGGTACCCACTTGTACTCCTGGGTGGTGAGAGGCAACCGTAGATAAAGTGCCTTGCCCAAGGACACATGCGATTTGCACAGTGAGAGTTTCAAACCCCCAACCTCGAGGTCTGTCTCTTATACACATCTAGATGTGTATAAGAGACAGATGTAACAAAGTGCTCCATTCATAAGGTTTGGAAAACTATAGCAAAAACTTGAATGTCCAAATTCAAATTAATTTGCACACACAAGGACTCAAAACTAAATAAAATAACGATTACACAATAGAATAGCAAACCTTTTGTTTGTTGAGGTTGCTTGTTAAAGCGGCCGACTCCTTTGTTGGCTGAATTTTATTTTTTTCCGTCACTTCTAACCTTTCAATTCTCTTCTGTTCTAACCTTTCTTGTAGGGCCTTCAACTTTGGATCCATGATTTTTGCATTATCATTTTTTTTCTGCTTCACAGATTGTCTAGAATAAAGTAAACACTTAATATTAATAGGAATTTTGGAATAAAGTTCATATTTATTACAATAATAATTTCATAATAATTTCATAATATTAGATTCAATGTAATATTGCTATTCTCCAATAGGCAATACTACTGTACATTGACCCCTACACAATGTTTTTGATGTCAATGAAAGTAACTGTAATGTATGTGGGGAGAAATTAAACAACAATGACAAAAAAAAACATGTTCACAATTTACTTCTTTGAAGCCATCTGACCCTCAGCAAATCTGTGTCGTGATATTTGCTCTAATTTTTCCATTAACATGTGCTCCTTGGCTTCTTTAGCTTCCAAAATGAAGTCGCGTTTATTTTCTTCCTCTTCAATTTGTTTGGCCTTCATCAACGAAAGTCTCTCTTTCAGCTGTAAGTACAAAATAGACAACAGACATAAATAGCATCATTAATGAAAAATAGGCTTCCAGCGAGAGCATGTGTCTATAATAATAAAGTATCCACATGGGATTTGGTTATCAGGATATGTGTGGTGTTTTATTTTTTTTATGCATGAGGAAACTTCACCATACCAAATTTTCAATTTTTGAACCAGGTTTTGCTGATCTCTTCTTATATGAAGCTCATTAGTTGTGAATAGTTCATAAGAAGCCTAGCACAATTAAATCAAAAACCATGTTGTAACTTCTAACATAAGTCATTGATTTTTAAAATTCAAAAGCATATCTATTATGATTTTTATCTGAAATTATAGCTAAGGTAATAAAAATGCCAAATTTTCATGAACAGGTTTTTAAATTTGTCTAGCCTGGTTTTTAAATACTATACTGGTACTTTAATGAGAAACAGCAATGCCTGCTGTGATAATGACTCTTAAGTAGAGGTATTCTTCTTTGATGTTTAATTGGATTACTGAGATAGATTCTGGCAAAACCTGTTTCACCAACCCGCCTGAGGCTAAGGTCACACTAGAGTTTTAAGCCTGGCTTGACTCACCGCGGGTGAGATTTTCGTAATGTGACCGCATCTGCACCGACTCGCGCGTGGCGTGACCTTGATCTCAATCCACCTATCTCAATCCCGGCTCAGCACCCATATTGACCCTGGCGTAACCGAGATTGACATTTCCTCGTCGGCTGTCGACCAATCACAGTCGATGACGCGGTTGGGTTTAGAAGTTCTTGAATAAAAAACCCGCGAGTTCTTTATGTGTGTTCAATCAAGACGCAATCATTACTTTTCATAAAAGTTAATTCAAATTTTAATTAATAATAATGCGATTGATTTGGAGCAACCAGGAAACTGCTGACCTGTTAGATTTGTGGGGACAACCCAAGCTGAGAGACCGGATAGAAAATAAAAAAACAAACAACAAAACGGGAATTTTTGGCGTGCTTGCCAGACAGATTAGCCAGTCTCGGACATGAGAAGAGAACAACGGCCCAAATTCAAACAAAAGTGAAGGCATTGCGAGCCCAATACAAGCTGATAAAAGATCAGTTGAAGAAGAGTGGTTCGGGCACGTCTGGTGTAAAATCTTTGATTGCGATCCACCCAATCACACGCGCGTATATCGAATCCCGTGAACTTTACGGCTCTGCTGTTTCGACTTTCATAATAATTTAGAGGTCAATCCAACTAGTGTGACCGACCCAGAATTTCGAGCCTGGCTTGAAATCTCACTCGCGGTGAGTCAAGCCAGGCTTGAGACGTTAGTGTGACCGTAGCCTGTATGCCCTTTTAAAGGGTTTGCTGGTAAATGGGATAGTAACAGCATGACTTTTGTAGTAAAAAGGTACTTAAGATGACACATGACCCATATGCACCTCCACCGAATTTACCCTTTCAGCCACATACAGTATAATAATAATAATGATAATAATATGTTGTTCTTATAGCGCTTCATGCACAAAGCCTCTAAGCGCTTCACATTACTACCCTGGTCATTGGATCAAACACACATGGAACACATACTGAATACCAAATTAAATTATTAAATTACATTATATTAATATTCCATAATATTGCAGCATAGTAATCAGCGCAGTTGTGTTGGAACCTACCAGGTACCCACTTGTACTCCTGGGTGGAGAGAGGCAACCGTAGGTAAAGTGCCTTGCCCAAGGACACAAGCGATTTGCACAGCGAGAGTTTCGAACCCCCGACCTCGAGGTTGGGAGTCCAAGCCACAACCAATGCGCCAACCACTTCTAGTATCCTTAACTGCCAAACGACAACATAGCATGAGACAAAAAGTCCCTGTTAGCAGAAATGGTCCATAGTGAGCTGTCTGGTAGTTGAGAGTGAGCTGTCAAATGGTCCAGAGGGAGCTGTTAGCAGCTCCATAAACTTAACTTTAATTGGTTTTAAGAATGTCCATTGGGAGTTAACAAGAGAGTCCTGGCCAGCAACATATAGCCATTGGAATGTAAACAAGAAACCCATTACAATCTCTCACTTCATCTCATGGGATTCAGTGGCAATAAATAATTTAAGAACCCATCGCTATTCAACAAACCAGCAGGACTTTTAAAACCCGGGTTTTTCCAAAAAGCCGGGGTGCCATGGACCAGTTCTGTTAACGGCCAAAAATGCAGCATGGTAAGGTATGAACTACATTAATTCTTGTGAATGTAAAATAAGGAATATCAAAATATATGATGATTTAGGAAGTTAAACAACATGCATTGCCAACTGATTTGTAGATTTAGTAGTACAATCATACAAAACCCACCTCAGCTATTGACATCTCACTTAGTAATGCATGGCCGGCAGTACTTGTCCAATCAATGAATTTCTTTGTGTTCTTGGGCGCTGCTTCCATTGCTCGTATTTCCTGAACTAGGTCTAGCTTGCGTTGCATTTCAATAGCTGCCTGTTGTAATAAACATAAAGGAAACATAAACAAATCTTCTATTAGTAATTTGAGAAACTTTCTTAAAAGTCTACACTCGCAATTGGTGTCCAGGGACCAGTGGTGCTGTCTAGCTTTTGGGGCGTAGTGTTTTGGTGGGTCCAGAAGCAAAGCTCAGGCAAAATTCTTGCAATGATCAAGGGATTTGAAGGCATGTTTAATCAATTTTTATTAATCTTATTTTATAATCTAATAATGACAGGCCTAAAACTATTTTCAGTAAATCATTTTTACAAGAAGCTTGCCATTTCTAGCCTTGGATGGTGTTATATATCTAAAATTTAAAAATGTAATGATAACGAATAACAGACCGGTATAGAGTACCACAGTCGTGTCATAACGACGCCAGACAGCGCTCTCTGTTGTCAACAGATGTGGGTTATGGTTCATTACGCCTGAATCACTGCATAGGCTTTCTGGAATAGGCATTTTAAAATCTAATATTTTAACATCAAAATGTACTAAAAACACAAAAGCTCCCATTATATTAGTTATCGCGAACACACATTTAATTATCAATTCAAATTTACAAGGAAAAAGTAAGATACATCTTAATAATTACGTTAGAAATTGAAATAAATCCTTTGTCAGTAAAGACAATGGCATCCGGTTGAACGCTTTTTGCAATGATAGCAACGGAGTAGTATCACATGGTATCGTGACGTAAAACTGTAGTACTCTACATGCATTATTAGTCGTGTGAATTTGTCTTCAGTTACAATTACACAGAGGTCTGTAGAAACTCTTGAGAGTATCACTACACTATCAGCATTTGTTGTTAAGTAATTTTGGGAATATTCCAGACATTTCTCTGGTTTTTTTCATAAATTGTCCCGAGCATGCAAGCATATAAATAAAAGCAAATAGTAAAAACAGTTTTATCATACCTATGCCTGTGCAATGCCAGGAAATGCAGTTTAAAACATTATTTAGGAAAGAATGCTACATGGTAGTAAACTTTATGAGGCCTGCACTAAGGAAAGAAGAAAATCTAAAGGATATTTTCATTTGTCTCCCTCCAATCACAATACAATTCTTGTGAACATACTGTGGCCTTGGTAAATGTGAAATCATATGATCAGATTTGTCTTATCAACTGTGTTCACAAAACCTGGCAAAACCAAAGCTTACCTCTTCAAAAGCTTGTCTAAGTAACTCTCGACTCTCTTCACTCACTTCTTCAGCTATCGAAAATAAAGATAATAATATAAAAGTGAAAACAAAAAATAACTGACACCGATTATAACACTAAAAAGAGACAAAAGAGATGAAAATAAAATATATTTAAAATACTTTCGATAGTAAAATCTTGGGGGAAAATTGTACTGCTTATTTATAGGATTAAATAATTTATCCACTCTGTGGGTCAGTTTTCAATGACTTACAGATGTTTTACTACAAAAATCACAATTATTTGCCACCCAATAAGGTTCTACACAATGCACTGCATTCCATATCTGTAGGCTTTGTAGCTGTCACGAATTACTGTGCTTACAGTTAACATATGAGACAAAATGATTATATAGTTTAATAAGGATTATAACAACTGTTAAAAACACTATAATAGATTATAATTATGTACATTAATAATAGTAACAATAATTTAATAATAATAATTATAATAAAATAATAATAATAATAATGATAATTAGCTATAGCAGTAACAATCACAATAGAAAAACCAGCAACAAACACAAAAAATAATAATTTATAATAGAAAATAAGAGTTAACATTAAAAACATTTATATATTTATAATTCTTACCTATCTTGCGCTTGTAATTCTGAAGTTTTTGTTTGGTTTGTTTAGCATTTTGATGCCCCGCCATAACATCCTCTACCAGTTCTCGTAAGACTTTCTCCTCCTCTAACCTTCTTGCAACATACTCCTGCATCATCTTTTCAGCCTCCTCTTTCATCTTTAAGACCTTCTGCCGATTATCTTGGATCAAAGACTGCCGTGCCAAGATAGCTTCCTCATGACTAAGTTTACCCTCAAGACGTCTTCGTTCAATCACAGCGAGTTCCTTATCTAAATCCTTCTGCCGCATTTCCTCTTGCCAGGTTAGGAACTCCGAGGCATCTTTGGCACCAGCTTCAAGTAAGTTCAGTCTACAAAACAAAATTAGAAAACATGCCTATCAAATAATATTTTCTTTCATAGTGCAGTTTCAGAATCTAGCTTACCTTTAATAATTAAATACTCTAGTCTTTATCTATATAATTATTTTATTTATTTATTTATTTAGGCACACAATACATGCACCAATGATTTTCAATAGTGAATATATCACTGCCCTACTTGTAAGTGACTCCCTTTCACAGAACAAACATACACACACGATGCTTTACACAAACTAAATCTCAATATTAAGTTTTAATAGAGACTGGAATTTTTCTGGTCAAAAGAAAAAAATCATTCAACACTGACAGGAATTGAACCTAGGACCATGGGATTGGAATCATCTTATTCTTAAGCACAAAGCTATTAAACTCCACTACACACGCTACCAGTTTAGTTCACTATACTGTACAGTTAAAGTATGACATTGAAATTGAAATATTTTGACAAACAAGGGTAGAATTTTACCCACTAGTCGCATGAGTCTTTTAGACAAAATCAGGACGGTCTCCTGCACTTTATGCAAGCAACATCTCCTGCAAATTCATAATGTCTTCAAGTTCTTACTAATATTATCAGTTGTCTCCCTAAAATCAATGGTCAATGGGTATCACCCTGAACAGCAAAATAATATTAGCTCATTGTTTGGAGCATGTGGTGCAGTGTGTAAGATGTTGGACTTCTGATCGTGAAATATCGGGAGTTCGAGACCAACACTCATCCCATTGCTTGTGTCCTTTGGCAAGGCACTTTACTTACGTTTGCCTCTCCACCCAGGAGTATAAATGGGTACCTGGTAGGATGATGTGGCATTGTAAGTATTAGATTGTCTCGGCATTATATTGTATGCATGACTAGGAATACTCCCCAGGGAGTGGAGGTGGATGCACTTTCAGAAAGAAAAAAAAAACTTTACTGAACTTTATTATTGGCAGTTATTTTCGGGCGTCTAGAAAACAAAATATTTGCAGGAGCATGCCCCCAAAACCCCTAGGGTGGTGTTATCTTGATCAGTCCCACTTTCGGATCCCCCTTTTGGACATCTGTGGATCCGTTCTGTTCAGAAAATGGGTTATCACAACTTTGGACCCCTGTTAGTGAATGTGTATTCTTGTTCTTGTTTTTCATTAATATACTGAATAAAAATATGATTTAATACTATTTCACAATTTCAGAACTGAACTATCACATATTACATACTTTTTTATTGCATCCTCCTCACGTCTTTGATAGAGGGCACCTTCCCTAAGAATGGTAGCCATGTTTAGCTTAATGGGGATATTGTCTGTGTTGTTGCTAGGTAATGGACGTGCTCTGCTGCCTTCAAACCTCAATTTGCTTTCCTGATCAGCGATAACATTTTGAATCCTAAGTTTAGTTTTCTCTGATTTTTCTTTTGTTGCACATTTAAATTGCGACTTCGTTGACTCAAGAAGTTGTTCTTCAGTTCGTCGTCTGTTCCTCTCCTTAGCTTCTTGAATCAGCTTGTGTTCTGATGGTACCTTATAGGTTGATTTGGGAACCTACATAAAAAAAACAATCATTAAAATATCTGTACCCACAAAATGAAAAGAGAAGCTGTCAAGTTGGCCTCGTTTCATCTAAAGCATTAAAAAAAAAATATATCTAATAAAAATGTTGTCATATGCAAGAAATATCTACGTGGATCACAATTTCATGAATATTACAAAATATATAACGTATTTATTCGAATAAATACCCCGCTTTGAATAAACGCCCCATCAAATAAACACTCCATCTAGAGCCTCATCTGTAATAAACGCCTCCCTCGAATAAACGCCCTGATGCATTATTTTTTTCCTTAAATAAACGCCCCTCTAATATTGACAGTAAATAAATCTAATGGAAACATCATCATTCTCAACACATTCTATTAATGTTCTATTCCAGTAGAATTACATTTTTTCTGACTGGTTGGGATTAACCAGTCTTTATGATCACGCAATAACACATTTTGACGGTAATTATGTGTTATAGTTCCACATTTACAGTGAAATTAAATGGAAATTATTGGAGGTTATACGTGTCCATTGTACACCAAAAAAAGTAAAGGCCTCCCTCGAATAAATGCCCCTTCAAAACCCTTCTCAACAATAAATGTCCCGGTGTGTTTATTCAAATAAATATGGTACATTAATTAACTTGAACGTAAAATGCATTGTCACACACCTTACTCTAGTTCCGCTGCCTATGAATGTTTTGTATAAATACTTACTTCTTTTGGCTTCGCTACTGTTGCAATTCTTTCAGGAACTGGTACACTCCGGGGTCTTGGCTTTGTTAGTTTGAAAGCTACTGGTTCTTGGGGTAAAAAAAAGTTTTACAAATTTTGGTCAACAACTAAATTTACTTCTTCTTTTTTCTTCATAACTTTTACTGTTTTCATTGATTAATATCTTTGTAGTTTTCTATTTTCAATTTAATTTCTACAAAACTGTTATGTTGAATAATACTATAAATGTGTTTAAGTACCCAATTTAAATTTTTAAAGGCAAACCATAAGAACTAATTATATTCAAGGATCTTTCAAATTATTGTTAATATTTTTTTTTTTTTTTTTTTTTTTTTTTTGTTTGAAAAACAATGTAGATTTTTTTTCTTTTAAATTTAATTCCAGAATAAATAAACAAATAGATACGCAATAAAATTTTAAATGAACATTTTTAAATTTCCTTTCAGATATGGAACAACATTGCCATCAAATAGGGCTAGCCAGGCCAAAACCAGTATCAATGACCAAAACAAGAAAATTGACTTTTTAACATATTCTTATTCTCCTCATTATAAGCTTTAATTATGGACAGGTCATTTACTAAAATCAACTTTACTATTGCCAAAGTTATGAATGAAAGTATTACAGTTTCTCTGTACTACAGTATACAATACTGCAACATTCTTATATTCACTCAGTTTAATATTAGCGACAGTACGCTGATTATGGGATGGCAAATTATTTGAAAATAATCAAAAATATTAAATACCTGTAACAGCCTTAAGAGATTTTGTGGATTTCACCTTATTATTGATTTTATCTTGTAATTGACTGATAAGCTCCTTCAGTTCTGGCAACCATCTAAATAATAAAAAAATATTTTTGGTCAATTTAGTTATATTAAAAATATTATTTAGAAATATTATGTTTCATCCAGCAACTGAACTTGGTAAAATCATTAGTAAATATTTCTACAATATTTTTGTAGTACGGTAATGGAAAAGTAAGGGTCTTGAGTGAAAATGGGTTATAAGTTTTAATTATAGATGTGGAATGTAAAAAATAGCGTGAAAGGATATTAAAAAGATTAATGGCTCAATTCATCTTGAATTTCACAATAACTTATAAATTTCCAGCCCGGAATTCAGCTAAAAGTGTCATGATAGAAAACTCATTGTCCTGGATGTTGGACCATTTATCAGTCTAATTCTACAAAGCATTTCTCCCAATTTTCCTACATCTGTAATTGGGCAAAATTTCTATAAAATCTATGAAAGTTCCATAGACCTTGGCAAGTTCAGTTCTATAATTAAGATCAATATTTATTGTATTTTCAATAGCTACAAATTACTTTACTTGTTTTTTTATGACTGCAATGAAAACAAGTTTCATGCATGTTTTTATCATTCTTTTGAAAATAAGGAACAACTTAAATTAAGGTTTGCGAGGGATTATACTGAGTGGATCAGAATTGCAATTTGTCTGCATCAAAGCTAAAAAACAAAATTGTATATGATTATTCATTTCTATATTTATTAAGACTATGTTCACACACACCATCAAACAGTGCAGGATCTAGATTAATAACATACACACGTTCATACAATAAAATCGCAGATCCACATAAGATGACGGTGGGATCACTGGCCGATAGGAAATTGGAAATACATATATCTGATTGGTTAATTATAGAAATGAGGTCAACTTGAAACCAATAACCTATAGTTTATCCACTTACCCACAGGGAATTGTTAGATTTAACAGACTGGGCATTCTCACATGGCTCGGTCTAACGGTTAGCTCCCGATTTGATTATTAAGGCTCTAACATAAGTTATACTCTATAAACTGGAAAACAGAATGAGAAAATATTCTTTACCTGAGTATAGGTGACATTAGGTTCACCTGTACATAGGTGTGTTCATATATTTTACACCATTCATCTTTGATCCAAGACAGCAAGTTATCTTCATTCAGAAAGAAGGCCAGAAACTGCAAAAAAGGCGAACAAATTATTCATTCATCTTTTATTTCAGAATTACAAATCCATAGAACAACAACAGAACAAGGCGACCAAGAGAACAAGAAAAAGTAGATAAACACAATTTGCTGTATCTACTGTACACAAAAGCATTTCAAGTTAAATACTGACACATGCAGAAGCAAAAATAGGAAAATGTGATTCCCAAACATAATTAAACAAAAACATCATCAACAAATTAAACAACTTTGACAACACTTGTCTCTTGTCTACTCCTTATCAATATGTGACCCACTCTAGAATAAATGGGCACTTATCTCAGAAAGTGAAAAATAACATTAGATCTTTGTATTATAGTCTAATAATTGTTAAAAACGGATATAATACTGTATATGATTTCAGTCCAACATGCATTAAGATGGTCCATACATAGAAATTTTAGCTGATTTGAAGACTTTCATTTTAGATGAGAAGTGCCTAATTTTGCTAAAATCGGTCACATATGGATGGGGATTGATAGCAATAATAACCACCACAAAACAACAATGAAAATGTAATAATAATACTGTAGTAAAAATTATATTTAAAATAATTAAAATAATTATCACAATTATAATACAGTTTATACAAAAATAAGGTTTATTTATATTTTTTAATAGCAAGAAGAGATTTTTGTCTAGTTAATAACATCTTTATTACCGGTCTTTTATTTATTATTCTCTAGAAAATCAAATCTATTATAAAGACTTGGATACAACTCAGAAGCAAAGACACCATGAAAAAATGTGTATCTATTTTACATATAGCCACAACATCCTCAGTACTTTACCTAGTGGTCTATATTTTTGGGCAGTCATAATGTGCAATCAATTTAATTTTTTAATTATTAATCTTTAAATTAAAAACAACCATTTTTATAGCTCCATGGTGCAACCATCTACTTTAGGAGTTTTCTAGCCCAGCTTTCATAATCTCAATCAATCGATCTAGAACATTTAGCACCGAATTCTATCACTAAAGAACTGTTCAGTAGAGTTTATAGTGACATTGGTTAAATAAAAAGTACACAAAATGGTTTAAATGTCATGTAAAATGACTACCGTTGGTTGTGTCTAAGCACCAGTAGATTATGAGAGGCCTATAGCCACATGCAGCTCAACAGTAACTTTGTTGGGCTCCAAGAAAATATGGTGAAACCCTATGCGCCCCACCACCCTCATTGGCTAGACGACCTCTTGTTGTTATGGCTCAATGTCGGTCATCATAAAAGTAACATATAACTTAAACATAAAGCAGTATAAAAGCAGTGCATGAACATTTATAAAGGCATACTAAGTTCATCAAACTTTTCATCATAAAAGTTCATCAAATTTTTCATCATAAAACATCTAAATTTGCTTGAGTCCCTAAGTGTTCAATCAAAAATTCACTTTAGCTCTTTGGCCCTTCGGCTCATTTTTATGCACATTCCTGATGTAAATGAGTTAGAAAAAAGATATTTTTAATTTATTTTTGAAAAAGGTGTAACATTTAAGGTGATTTCATTGTGCACAGAAAGTGGGTTCAATAAAATAAGAGCAGCTGAATAAGTGATCATCTGTCATATGAAGCTGTAGTTTCTAGAGATGCAGTAAGTGTTTTATTTAGAAGTTGATTGAAGTGGTATATGAGAGAGACAATGATACACATGGCTTATGCAGAAGTTTCTACTGCATTAGGTTTCATTATGAAACCCTAAATAGTAAATGCAATGTTTACAAACCTTTACATACATGTAGCCACGTTGGGGGTGTGACGGTGAAAACGTCCTTGAAAATTCTGCAGCACTTTCGACGATTTTTTACATATATTTCAACATATTTTACATAAAAAAACAGTACTTTATTACATCTACTGACTTTTTAGATCCTTTGGCAGGAGGTTTAAAGGTTATTTGGTAAAAATTGGAATAGTTTCATCTAGGCCTAGGCCCTAGGCATGAAGGCAGTGAGGCAGCTAAACCCCATGGCCAAAAGCCAAGCGGGGAGGCAGGCAATCCGACTAGTATTAACAGTATTAGGCCTAATGCCAAATGCAAGGTATGTACTTCTATGTCAGTAATTTGCAGGTTTCACTGGATAATATGTTTGAATGGTCCCATACATGGCAATTACCTTTTAATCCGGAGAAATGTAAGATTCTGTATGTTGGAAGAAGGAACATGAAATGTGATTATTTTGTACAAGATAATGAGTCATGTGTTAACATAGAAGAAACTTTATTAGAAAAAGATCTTGGCGTGCATTTTGATAGTAACTTGAAATTTGATGAGCCTATAAATATTTCAGTTTCTAAAGCCAACAAAATGGTAGGTCTTATAAAAAGAACATTCATTTATAATGACAAGGGCATGTTTTTAATATTATACAAGTCCTTATTTCGTCCTATTTTAGAATTTAATTGTTGTGTTTGGCACCTCATAATATAGGCTTAATTAAAAGAATTGAATTAGTGAAAAGAAGAGCAAGACATTGCCTGAATTAAAAAGTTTGTCATACGCTGAAAGGTTGAAGTATTTAGGTTTACCAACTCTAGAATATAGATGACTCAGAGCAGATATGATTCAAGTTTTTAGAATTATTATTCTTGTGAGATAGAGGGCACAAGTTTAAGCTATATAAAAACAGGGCTAGACTAGATGTCCGGAAATATACATTTAGTTCTAGAGTGGTTGATGTTTGGAACAGTCTGCTATCTAAATAGTTGTAATGGCAACTAGTTTAAATGAATTTAAATCTTTACTAAACTATCACTGGGTTAACATAAATTGTAAATTTTCATTCTCGTACTTATAAAAATAACGATAAAAAAACTAATAACAATAGGATTAAAGTAATTAATTATACAAGTATTTTTTTTTCAGGAAGTACATTTTAGAGAACATCATGTATACATTGTGACAATTATAATCATCTTATTTTCATTCATTCAAGACTTTCAGTTTTGGATGGGTCATATAAGCTAAAAGCTTACTAACCGACCCAAAAACATCAATCAAGTATCAAGCAAGTAAATCTCTACATACTGTAGCCGCCTGAGAATCTCTACATAGCCACATGCTTCAGAGTGTCACTGACGCAAACACAAAGAGCAAACAATAGTAGTAGGAGGTCTTCCACACTATTTCGTTACACACATAATACAAATTGCTAGTTTAACTGAATTTAGACATTCAAAACATGAAAAAAAATGTAAAATATGACTGAAATTTGATTTTCTGTGTTCCACACAAAAAATTAACACAGATGATTTGTTTATGCTTGATTTTGTGATAGGTCTGTGAAGAAATATAGTAGGCGTAGGAAACATTAGCCTATCCCACACTGCTAGGCTAGGCCTAGCCTTACCTTGATTTAGGTTCTGTTATCAGACATAAAAACAGCTGACATGATATATTCCGTGGCTAGTATTGACAATTGTGAAATATAATATTTGGAATTATTACAAATTTGTTAAATAAATTATTCTGACCGTAAATTTGACAATTAAACAAACATATCTCAGGCCTATTCCATCGCCGCAGAGTGGGAGATACGAAGTACAAAAACTAATCTCATTAGAGAGGGCGCACTTTATTAACTGCATAAAGTATACATAAAATACAGTAGTATCGAAGAAGTTGTCGAGAAAATGGTAATCTCCTATGAGAAATAGTCTCTATTTCTCATTTTTTTAAATTCTTTTGTGTAAAACTATTAAAAATTCATGCCAATATTTTGCCATTAGAATAATGCATATGCATTTTTTTTTTTTAATTCTTTTTTAGTGAAATTTTGCCAGGAATGGGGCTTTAAAAAATCTACTAAAACAACTCCAGAAAATAGAGCTACAGTATGCCTATTACTCATGCCTACTATTAAGCTAACAGATATAGCGTTCAATCTGCTATTAAGCTTATTTTGCTGTTGGATTGGATTGAATGCGAATGACACGAGAGATAACCAGTGAACTTGATCCTTGAATCCCACGTGTCTGTGAACTATTGAAGAAAGTGGCACAGCTGCATAAATTATTAATAGCTTCAGAACATCAAAAGTTTGAAAAAACACTTTTGCTCAGATGTATTCTCATTAACGATCCTCAATGAGATAAAACTCAAAACATGAAGACCAACAGTGACCATGTATGACTTACCCGGAACATTTTGTTAACATCTTGAGTCCTAATGAACTTTCTGTAATTAGCCATTCCTAATTCATCAAGACGATACAGACTAAGGTAGCATAGCACTGGAAAAACAACACACAAGAACAGTCATTAATGTCAAATGATTCCCCAAAAAATCATGCATATTGGGTATAAAAAAAATCACAAACAGAATACCAAATAGGAATGGTTGTTGATTGTCTGCTTTACCTTGCCCAAAATTAATTAAAGCCATTGTAATAGGGAAGATACTTCAGAAGACATCAGAGTAACTTTGATTTAAATTATATTTATAAAGATACAAGTTTTGGCAGGACCATTATTAATGTACAGTAATATTAGACCACTGGCGACAGCACATGGTGGGCCGAGGGGGTCCACCCAACAATTTCAATGGGTGGGCCCACCAATAATTTGCCAAAAAAGTTTGAATATTGATTTTGACAAACCAATACCAATGATCAACAGTTAGCTGCTTTAAATTATCAAATCAGTCTCCCAAATGCAAATTTTTTTACCCTTGGTTTAGCCTCTGCCCAAGCTTTGGTTCCTTGCTCCCTCACAAAAGGTTATATCAGAACTTAATTTAAATGCATAACCTTTAACCTTTATAATTAATACTTCATTGTGATAAAAACAATGGCATTTCAAATAGTTATTTATATTATAGTTAATTTGTAAAGAAGTAATTGAAAGAAGAGTGGCTTAGCTAATTCAGCTAAACTGGTGGTAGCCACTGTTTGTGCACTGAACCATTGAGATCTCTTGGTCCCTGGTTCAATTCCTATCACTGCTCTCTTTGTATTTTAGCTGGAGGGCTGAAAGGCAAGTTACAACAGCACACATTCTTTTGGATGAGACGTTTAGGTCTTTGGTCTTGTGTGCATTATGGCCCATATGCATTTTAAAATTGCAGTACACTTTTTGGAAAAAAAGAGTAGGGGATCTGTCTCCTGGCCGGTGTACTGCCCAATCACAACCAGGACCCCACTGGAGATAAGTCTTCTTCAGATTTTCGTGGGTTATCCTTGGTGTTTACACCAAATAAATCAATCCAATTCCAAAGATGGGCGGATGCAGGGGGTGAAGACAGTGCGATCGCACCCCTCTAAATTGTATTAAGAAAAATAATTGTTGTATTGTATTGTTGATATGAACTACCAGTAAGATTTTTAAGGTGTGAGTGCAATTTCCGAGCAGAAAATTTTCTCACCTCAGTCCCAACCATGGTGGGTCTGAGGTGGTGTGGACTCTCACGCACCCCCTACCGCCAAATTCTGCATCCGCCCAAGTAAAATTAAATTAAATAGAATGTTTGTTTACCAGTGTAGAGATTTTTATCTGATTTGAGTGAGTTCCAGCCGTGAGACCTGAAGAAGCCCTCAACTACAATATTCATCACTTTAGCATGTTGAACACTTCCAGAAAACACCTCAGTGATAAAAGCTTGCTCCCCTGGATCCAGAGTCTGAGGAAAATGCAGAAAGTCATGTGAATTACAGAGAGGTCAAACTGACTACCTAGGGTTTACCAAAAGGTAGTTAAATATACCAGAATGTGTTTTGAATAATGTTGCATTGAATTATATTCATCTGATAATTGTGACCGACGCTTGTCGTCTAAAGCGAGTCGTCAAATCAGATCAAATTTCCCATCTTATTGACCATCTTAATGAATATTTTTACTGAAATCATAAATTGTCATATTTTTGTCATTTGTTATCAGTTTTTAACAATTTTTGCATCAATTATTAACTTTTGACAAGGATCTAATACCGTAATGTCATTTTTCATTCCTTGAGGTTTGATTTTTGGTTGATTGGGTCACATTCTATTTAATTTTTTATAAATTATGGTATATAAAAAAACTGTAAAGGTAAAAAAAAATAAATTTGAACATGCTTGACTTTCACACAAGTCCCACACTATAGTGTATTATATCTCTAACATAATAGAGGGTTCTCTGTAAAAAGTCTATAGAAGTCTATGCTCAATGGAAAATATGTGGAACTATAGAATTTCTATAGTGTACTATGCCAAATTTTATAGAGGTTTCTTAATAAAATAAAAAAAAAATCTACAGAAAACCTATATAAACTCTGTGGACAAATCTGTAGAACATGTGATCAAAAATCACATGATCACACCATGTCCAATGGTTTACATGATCATCTCATGGCTAAAAATATCACTAACCTTGTTCTGATGAATGTATGAAGCAAGATGTTGCTCGACCCCATGAACTTTCTTGTTAAAACTGTCCAATATTTTGACACAATGATGCAGCAGGGATGCATGTTTCATCTTGCTGGTTAGGAGTCAATCAGCTGTAACAATATTTTGAAAAAGTTTTAAAGTGACAAATACAGTAATAAGTAGAACAGATATCCTGTAAGTGTAAGACAGAGTAAGCTTAAGAACATCATTTTCTGGATTGTTATAATGTAACTTATGACAGTAATGGGAATACTACTGCATCCGAATGTAATTATAGATCAGATCCTTGTGGCTAACAAAAGCATGATTATTATGTATAATTACTGTAAATCTGCAGTGAACATTTTTATATAATTCAATATATAAAGTAGTTAATTAGTTTTTCACCCAGCCTGACTAGTATAGGGAGGAATAATTTCACTAATACTATAAATTCATAAAAAAAAAAAATCCCTAGATTCTGTTTAATTATTATAGTTAGTCTATAAAAAATGAGTCTTCAACATTATGGCATGTACACAGTTAAACAAAAATGTATTTTTTGGCTTGAATTGCTGTTTTTTTGCCACAAAAACGTTTATAAGGCTCTGTTCCTGAATATTTAGTTAACTTTTATGATCCTATTGATGATTATCACAATATCAAGAAGCAAATCGAAAAATACTTTGGTGTTGTCAAAATGGTCAAATGAATCTGGTAAAGGAACTTTAAAATATTTCGTTCCGTTGAATTTTGGAATAGCATACCATCAAATATTCGCAGTACTATACATTCACTTACTTTAAAACCTTTCAAAGACCTAACGTGGATACTTAATTCTTCATTATAATTTTAATTTTCATTTATTTTAGTTTTGTATGAAATTTAAGTTATTGTTATCTGGACCTGAAGGAAGAACAATGTCCCCACACTGATTGGGTATCCAGAAAAAAAGAAAGGTTTCCAATTCTAATTTTAAAGGTCTGACTGAAAATGCGCTAATGAACACTTGACAAAGTTGTCATAGTGCAGTCAATAAATCGATTTGTGATGACTTACAATCTATCAACAATGACGTCAATTTAACTGTGCATGTCTAAACATTACGTGTAACACTCTCTCCCGAAAACAGTCGTCAGCTTAATCTATAGTTAAGGCAGAACAATGACTGTACTGTTGGTGTATCAATATTGAGATATTATTTTACATTAGATATTAAAATAAACCGCAATACACATTTAAAATGTGTATTATGACTAAATTAGGCTTAAAGCATAATTATTGAACATCTTATATGGTTATTTTACTTCACAATTTAGAAGACATAGGCCTAGACTATTTTGTTCCACCTCTGTAAACACAGTATTGTGTTTGCCAAAATCCCTAATATTGTGGTCTAAATAGTACTGTAAATGCACAATTGTGGTTCGGACCCCTGTCAAACTTTTTGGATCTCCTTTACAAACATCATGATAAGCAAAGCAGTCTGCTCCACCTAGGCCTGGCCCTACTTGTTTTTTGGTTTTTTTTACCTGCAACGGTGATAAAAGAATAGAGCAGTGGACAAATTTAGCATGTGGGGTCGATTATTATTAAATTAGCCTAATTTATAGAAGGAAATTTAAAGTACCTTCCTAGCTTACTCAGGTCCAGGCCTAAAAGGGAAGTGAATCCTAGTAAAAGCGGAAAGTGGCCACTCTTGGTAGGTTAGATTAGCCTCTATAAGCCTGTGAACTAGCCCTAGACAATAGGCTAGGCTTGTAGGTCCTAGTTTACATAAATTCAGTCATGCAGTGATGAGTGGGTTCAACCCGCCTGGTTGGACACTGTCTGTAGCCTAGGATTCGGATCACCTCCAAGCCTACATACAATCGCAAATGGAGGTGCCTAAATTTATAGTCTTACAATTAAGCGAAGATTTAAGCAATAATTAGCTAAAGTTCTGTAAACCTTACATTCTATATTAGGTTCTCCTCAATAATACTGTGACCAAATAACCGTTTTAGCGTACACAATTTTACTGTTTAAAATGTTGAAAACACCACCAACAAAATAGATACTTGTTGTTGACATTGGCAACGATAGCTTCTTTGGCAGCTAATTTTATAGCGCCCTCTACAATGAATTGTAGACGACACACTCAACTCTCGAGCATGTGTCTCCTTGGTCGTCTTTGGTAGGTAGCTAGTAGTAAGAGAAAGGGTTGTGTCTTTTTAGGTTTTATGTACATTATTGTTCTTGATTTAGTGTAGCGGGAAAGCAGGCAGTCTAGGTTACAAATACATATTAAGCCTATGACAGGTGCTGGGGAAGGCACCGCATGGGCAGGCATAGCATAGCCATAGGATAGCCTATTATAGGGCGGCCTTCTACTAGCCTAGCTAGGAAGGCCTAGAGCATGTTGAGCGAGATAAAAGAAATAAAGAAGAATGCGGCATGTTCGCGAAACAATTACAGTATAATAAAAGTCTAGCCTACCTTGGATACTCGACTATATACACAAAAAGCAGCTGGCAAGAGTAAATAGCATGCCAGTGGATATGATCTACAGTCTCTGAAATTGTTATGGTAGTAGTACTCTACAGATACTTACTTTTATTCAATGTATTTTTTTGAAAAAATCAATAATTTTAAGATATGATGAACTTTATTGTCATGTTCCAAACCAATGAAATATGAAATTACAATCTTGATGCTTGATAAATAATATAAAAAAAAACAACAAACTTAGAAATTATTAAGATATCAATAAATACATTTAAGGTTAGCTACACATTACGTAAAATATAAATACAAAATAGTTTATGGATATTAATGGCAACGATTTCTACCTCCGCAAAAGGAGGTAATATGTATTCACAGTTGTATAATGCTGACATAAGTTTTTTAGATCCAGCCGTACGCGGCGCCCCATTGTTTGTATTCCCACCATGCATTTCGGTGGAACAGTTTTTTTTTCTGTGGAGAACTCTATCTTGTATTTCTAGTATCTTTGTCAATACTGTATTGCATTATCTATGAAAGATTTGAGATTTGAGTGTGCAAGCATTGCTAACTAATCTTATTTTTTCAGCACTGGACATGCATGCAATTTGGTTTTAAATTTTAAAGGAAATATTTAAAGTATCTTTATTCTTCAGATAAAAATGACTTTCCTTGTCAAGGGGATCGGTCATGTTTTTGGCATTCGGAGTAGTTTACAAAAGGTAATGTATGCAGTCACCATTTACAACATGTTATGTTTATTTTGTTTTCACTCAATCAATCAATCTCAGTCAATCTTTATTTTCCCTCATAAACAAACAAAAAAAATCAGATGGAGGAAGTATAACTAAGGCAAAGCCTGATAAAATGTTGTAGTACCTTAACAAGAAATACAATAATTTATAATATATTGAAATAAGACATAAATAAATATGTATTTATGTACTCAACTCAACTTCCTATATTAACTTTTGAATTTCAGTAAATTTCTTATTAAAAATTGTACACATTGGCATAATAAAGGCAAAAAAACACCCCCTGTATTTGTTTCTAAGCACAACCAACGTAATGTAAACCAAAAAAACTTGGTGCTTTTTTCACAAAGTAAAGACATTTTCAGTCTGTTTCTTCAATATTTGGCTAGATGAATACTGAACCAGACTTTACTTTTTTGGAACTTTATGTCGAAAAATATGCATGATATAATTTCTACTAAGGAGGAGCCAGCAATGCAATATAATCCCTTAAGGTGCACTTTTCATGCTTTAGTTCACTTGACACCTCAACCATAGATTTTAGTCTAGTGGTTATATTTATTTTTATACCAGCAAAAATGCTTGGGAGAGTGTGATTAGTTGGACTGACCCTAAAATTAGGCCACAACTTTGAAAATAATAGGCTGCCACCGGGAGCGTGTGTCTATTCCCTATACTGCCTTACTGTGTTATGTTTACTAATAAAGTATCCACATGGGATTCGGTTATCAGGAAATTTGTGGTGTATATTTTTTAATGAATTTTGTCCATTAATAAGGTACTTAAGATGACACATGAACCAATATGCGCCTCCACCACATTTACCCTTTCAGCCATCCTTAACTGTCAGAGGACAACATCGTGTTTTCCCCTGAGTGGAGGGGGCATATGGACACAAAAATCCATCAATGAGATGTCATAAATATAAAAAGAAAAACGTTGACATGTCTTATTAAGTTTAAATGAAAATGTGTTTGCTTGGTGGCGACCTTTTCATTTTATTCTGGAGAATTTCTTAACATATAATGTGCAGAAGCAATATATTCTTATAGAATGTACATTTTATTCTGAAATTTCAAGATTACTGCCTGTAAAAGATCTTTAGCAATTCTTGCAAATACACAAAACTTCAGAAGTCACAGGTCATCAGTATGGCCAGTTCCAAGTCGAAGCATGACTTCTCCAGTGACAATGTTCACTGATGAAGAGATGATGATGAAAGAATCAGTGGTGAAGTTTGCCAGGGACGTCATCAGTCCACTGGTCTCCGAGATGGATGCCAATTCAAGACTTGATTCGACTGTAATTAAAGGTCTTTTTGAGATGGGAGTAAGTCAAAATTTATTTCTCTTCATCTGAAATTCTTGTACTGTCCCATTGATAGCTTACCTGCAGTTAATCTAAAGAGGAGGTGGAGGGTTAACATTTTCTCGAATATCATTTATTTCTAACATCTTATGAAGTACCTTAATTATTTGAAAACATACAAAAGAATCACAAATATAATCCATGCCCTATGCTTCAACACTTGTGTAATATTAGTAATAGCATGACTTGCAATTTTGGGCCCATTTTGGGATGCTTGTTCTACAGTACTCATAGGCAGATTTAGGGAGGCGGGGTCACCTGCTCTCCGGTTTTTCCACAGCCTTCTTTTATTTTTGAACAGAAAAAAAAAATCCCAAAAATTGCATACAGACACAAATAATACCATTATTGGATACTTATTTATCTGTATATGGGCTACGAAATTGGAGCTCCTTCATTTAGAAAAATCTAGATCCAGCTCTGCTACCGAGCTCCAAGAAAGAAAAGCTCTAATCTTAGGTATTTAAGCATACTACGTATTTTTCAATTAGTTCCCTTTAATATCTGGCTCAGTGCTGAGGCAAGATAGTATAATACATACTCCAAGTAGTGAAATGCATGCCATCGTGCAACAAGTTCAAAAGCCCATTTTATTTTTAGGGCATACGTATGGACTTTATTGAGTCAAAGCTGTAATTATCTATATTATTATTATTCACTTCAATTTTGCACTTAACTTTTTTTTTTAAATGCTCAGTTTATGGGTATTGAGACGCCTGTTGAATATGGCGGACCAGGTGCAAGCTTCTTTTCTGCTAACATAGTTATAGAGGAACTTGCTAAGATCGACACAGCGGTCAGTACTATGTGCGATGTTCATAATACAGTAGTGACCACAATGTTCAACCACTTTGCTTCCCATCAACAAAAACTTAAATATATGCCACGGTTATGCACAGACATGGTGAGTTTTTTCATATTTCCATCTTGTTTTGGCAGGGGTACTTTTTTTTTTCATATGAGAAACAGAATTAAAGCCAGGGCACTGGAATTAGAAAGCATCCATGTTGTTTAAGGTTTAGCTTTACTACACTCTTTAGTTTGAGGACTACTTTTCCATTACTTATTGTGTTATTTGTAAATTTTTAAGTGTTATTTAAATGTTTTTTTATTGTAATTTTCAATACTTTTTTGTAATTTATACATTTTATTTATAATAATTATAATCATATAAATAATAATAATAATAATTTTATTTTTTATGTCTTGTGAATTTATTGTACTGATTATATTATATTTTCTATATATTTTTATTACAATTTTTGCCTGTAAGTGGGAACGAAATAAAATAAATAAAAATAAAATTACAAGTGGAATGTACTGATTATAAATGATAGAAATGCTGTGCTACTGTAGTTCAGTATCTGTTGTATAGTGTCACTGCACTGTCTCTCTGCTTTGACCACAATGGAAATTTTGTTTTGAGCATTGACCTTCTTACCCATTAAATGATTTAAGAAGAAATTATATTTTAATCAAAATGTTTAAGATGCAGAATAAGAATTCATACTGCTTTTGTGGGAGTGGTTTGGCACAGTAGTTGTGGTTCTGCTTCTCAATGAGATTTGAGGTTCAATACTTCGCTCTGCATATTGCTTGTGTCCTTGGGCAAGGCACTTTGCAGCACCAACAATTACCTCTCTCCACCCAGGAGTACAAGTGGGTACCTGGTAGATTCAACCACATATGCACTGATTACAACTGCAAAACGGGAATTCTGCCCACGGAGCTGAGTATGCGTTTGATCAAATGACTCGCAGTGGATAATTTAAAGCACTTTGAGGCATTTTAGTGGGCATGGAGTGCTAAATAAGTCTAACATATTATTATTATTATTGTTATTCAATTTATTATTATTATTATTATTATTATTATTGTTATTGTTGTTATTATTATTATTACCCTCATCCCACGAATTGGGGTCTGTCTGTGTTTCTGTCTGTGACATTTGTGTTTGTCCTTCCGGGAGCATAACTCAAAATACTGGAAAAAATAGTGAGATTTGAACCCCATACGTTCGATTATATTTACACACAAAATGTGCATCTTTACCAATCGGCCACATTTCACCTGATACATCTAGCCAGTAATATTATACCCCTATAATATAACAACAACCAGCGGATAACAAAGATATTGTGCGACAGCAGGGCGAGGGTTTGTAAAATTAGATTATCTTGTTATTATTATTTGCATCATTTGTAGGTTGGCAGTTTTTGTTTATCAGAAACAGAGTCTGGAAGTGATGCATTTGCCCTAAAAACAACTGCAAAGCTTGACGGGGATCATTACATTATCAATGGGAGCAAGATGTGGATAACCAATGCGGAACATGCAGGAGTCTTCCTTGTTATGGCAAATGTAGATTTACAAGCAGTGAGTATGATATTCACTACAGCAGTTCTAATACAGGAAATCAAAACAAAGATTAAACATCCGTCCAACCATTTATTTTATGCACTATTCATGAAATCAGTGTATTCATTGTTCAATATATTTTTCAGTTGATTTTGTCCATCCATTCATTCATTCATTCCATCCCATCCATCCATTCCATCCATCTGTTCCATTCATCCATTCCATTTCATCCATCCATCCATTCCATCCATCCATCCATTCCATCAATCCATTCATTCCATTTATTATTTCATTCCATCCTTCCATCCATCCATCTGTACGTTCCATTCCATTCATTCTATCCATCCATTCATTCCGTTCATCTGTTCATTCCATCCATTCATTCATTCATTTATTCATTCATTCATTCATTCATTTATTCATTCATTCCATCCTTTCATTCCATCCATCCATTCATTCATTCATTCCATCCATCCATCCATCCATTCATTCATTCCATCCATCCATCCATCCATTCATTCCATATCCATCCGATTTGTCCATTCATCCAAGCATCGATCAATCGATCCATCCATCCATCTATTCTTTCTTAAATCTATCTTGATTAAACCATTTAATCCATCCAACTATTTACTCTCCTCATTTATTCATAAAAATTGCATTCATTAATCTATTATCTATTATTATCTTCCCCCTTCCCTTTCCACTTGCATACATCTATCCTTGTATATAGCGATCTATTCATCATCCATGCATCCATCTTTATTCAATCATGTTTTAGAGTTTTCGAAATGTATCTTTCCCTTTATTCATCCTTCCATCTGTTTATTCGTCCATCAATCCTTATATTCATCTATCACCATGTCCGTTGTCATGTCAAGCAATTTTTTTTTACTGTACCTAGTTTTAACTGTGCCACTCGATAAAATCTTAATCTCCATCACATTTAACTTCATTTAAGCCGCAATCGCACTGGATTTAAAATAGGGAAATTTTTACCGAGACTGTGGGTAACATTCCAATGGGTAAACTACCTGTCGTTCGCACTGGGATTTATCGACGTGGTTAGTTTTACCACAGGCCATGGTGAAACTAACCATTCGTACAGATTCAACTATTGGGGGCGCTAAATCGTGACGTTCACAGTGTTTCTTTGGACTAGGCCCACATCATGTTGTATTTGTTGATAATCGCGATGGATTGTCTCACCAAGACCTAGCACATTTATTAATGCTCCATATAAATCGGCCATTGAAACAAACCGAGTAAACAAGTGAAAAAAATGACAAAATTACTCAAAATTAAGACACTAGCAAACACGCGCGAAATTAATCAAGATGTTTGTGTGGGACGTTTTATTCCAGGTCACAGCTCATGCGTAATTGCCTGACAGCCTGAGGAAGGTCATTCACTGTGATGACTTGGGAAGTTTACCCGACTCGCACTGTTCGCATTGGACTTTCCTGCTAGGTAAAACTAACCTGGTCAGTTTTACTGGGCAAGCGGGACTCGGTTAAATTAACCGCGCGGCTTGGTTTCCTGTCAGGTAAACTTCCTGTGCTGTTCGCACTGGACTAATTATGGTAAAACTAGCCAACGTGTTGGTTAGTTTTACCAAAAAAAGTCCAGTGCGATTGTGGCTTTAGAAGCCGTCTAATGCAGCCACCGGCAGTATAAATCTTAGAGCCGCGGTCCTTCCAGAAGACACTGCAATTACACATAGACAGCCTTGCTGTCCACTGCTCAAACTTAGATTGGCTGGAGGTTTTATATTTTATTGAATGTCACAGTTTGAGGCTAGGTACAAACAAAATTGATTGGCATGAGGGGTGTTTGATGTATATGTTAAAGAATGCAGTACACCATACAGAAAAGGTGGTGTACTGTGTAATTCTTTCTGTCAATATTATGCATAATATTAATTTTATATATTTTTTTTTACAAATTGTGAGTTATGTCAATGAAGGTCATTTTTTCACCCTAGGGTTATAAGGGTATCACATCATTTATAGTGGATGGTGATACTGAAGGCCTAAGTATAGGAAAACCGGAGAACAAACTGGGTATCAGAGCTTCATCAACCTGTCCAGTGCACTTTGAGAATGTTAAAGTAAGTCTCATGTTAATCAACTAATCAATAAGCTCCTAGAGATAAGTACATACATTAGCTGGTTAACCAATAGTGGCTTTGACATTAATGTTCAGGTTCTATAATCAACCTATCAGTAAGCTCCTAATAAGCAAATATTAGAGCTCCGCATAGTAAACTATAGGAAAATTATTGTATGAAGGTTAGATTTAATGCTTGAACAAATTTTTGAATGCATTAAATCTAATCTAAGTATAATAATTTTCCATTTAGTGTACGATGCATGCTCTACTAATTGCTTTAGAAGTCAATTGCCGTCTTTAAATTTTCATAGTTTTTTTTATAACCAACTGTTGTAGCAGTCATCGGTTGCTATAGTGATATGATCAGTATACGTGTGCGTATTTACATTTAGCTGTGCGTATGCTGATTTTTGCTCCTGCAGTACGCGTTTAATTACACATCGGCAGTACAGTATGGATACGATGAATAAGTATTGTAATTTGTACTGTGTTAGAAAGAACTTGTTTGTAATGCTATTTTGATAGACTTTCGTCAAAGAAATAAACATTTCAACATTCAAGAGAGAATACAGTCCCTGACATCCTTTTTCGGGTCGATGCATGCAGACAGGTAAAATCATGCGATGATTTCATAACTAGGCTAGGCTACGGCATAGTAGTAGTAGTAGTAGAAGACCTGGGCGGCCTCCTTCCTGGCCGTAGGCCTACATCTAAATTTGTTCCTTGAGTCTTTAAAATAGGTCTAGAATAATCCTATTAAACATTCAGTTTGTTGTGTTTATGAGGGTCAGTTGATTCAATGAATTCCTTAATTGTTCATACTTAATATTCATACTTAATAGTTCTAATTAAGCTTGTTTTACGAAAGTACTTTTCAATTACAACTCAATTTTATATCGCGGTGCGCGATGTCTTCGTGGTGGTAATGAAAAAATGAGGAATTTTTTTGCATACGAGCCTAAAAAAAATCAAGCCAAGCGTCCACTAATTTTTCAATTAGTGGACGGTGGGGAATAGGCAAGTAACATTGGGAGTTGCAGTGATGACGACACAATTGACTTATAATTGTTATTATTCATCTATTTTGTTAAATCTTTAACCAATCAGATACTTGTTTTCTAAAATCAACCTATCAGTAACCTTTAAGTTACAGAAGCCCTATTATTCCTCTAAATCAGTACCTCAGTGGTGTGTCTGGAAGTCTTGAAATGGGAGGCTGATAGAGGGCGCATTGATTGAGTGGGGCTTGATGATTAAGTGAGTGGGTGATAGGTTGAAAAATAAGGTGATATAAGGTGGGTTTTTTGTTTCAAACATTTTCAATTGGGGAGACTAGGTGGGGGGTGGGAAGATTTTTTTTTATGACATATAGGGATGTAAGTGACTAAGGTAATACTATATGACATTGTCCCCCATCCCTCAACCCTGTTCCCCCTCCCCCCCCCAAATACTGTATGCCCTGTCTCTTTTACACCAGTACCTTAATATTTATTGATGTTTGTTCAGGGTTTTTTTTTTTGTATATCTAGTTTTAGGTGACCTGATGTTACTATCATTATTTATAAAATTTGGCAACAATATACATACTTTAACGTACTTTTATTTGAGTGTATAGCCCTGTAATACTTGCACCTACAGTGGCAAACCGCTTCATAGCCCGTCAACAATCTAAGGTAGGGTATCTAAACATAGCCAGCCGAGAATGACCAGCAAGTGGTTCAGACTCTCGACCATAAAGTTCAGAACCTGAATGGAAAAAAGCAGGGGGAGATCCAGAGAGCGATCAAGAGACGACAAAACCTTAAATTTGTGTTTTCTCGACGGCCGGAAATAACCTCTGAGGCGTTTTTAGCGTTCATTAATTTTTTTTGTTTCTCTTTCCTTTTTTTCTAGGTTCCAGTTGAAAATGTACTTGGAGAGGTGGGTCATGGTTATAAGTATTCAATTGAGGTCCTGAATGAAGGCCGTATTGCAATTGGAGCACAGGTACTGTATATTCCACAATAGATTTTTTCCAGACTTTGCTTTGCAAATTTGCCGCCTGCCAAGAATTCCTCTGGCTTAAGCCCACCTCTTTAAATACAATATTGTTCCAATTTTAGGGGGTGGTCTTATGGGGAATCTCCTTTTCAATCAAAAGGCAATTTTTTAGCATTGTGTGCCTATTCTGAAGTCAGTCATTTTTCTAATAGTTTTTGTAAAAGACAGGTAATCTCTACATTTAAAGTCATATGCTTGGATTTTGCCCAAGGAAAGGCTGGCACATAAAATTTAGCATAAAGTAGGTATGGGCTTATAACCAAGGTGGCCCTATTCCTGAGTAATTACAGTATTTTGAATACAATACAGTGACATCTCCCAATTACATACCTCTTTGTATGAATAGCACTGATAATTGAGAAAATGTTTATTCAGAGGGTTTGAATTTTTGTATATCATCTTGGTGAAAAGCTCTTTGTTGCACAGCAGCTTATCTCCCATGTCAAGAAGAACTTTTCATCCCAAAATATGGCTTGTATACTTTCAATAGAAATTTTTTTCTAAAATGAAATAATTTGGTGTTTTTTCACTTTCCTTGTTTAAGTCTGTCATAAGCAAAGTTTGTTAAACAATTGTATAAAAAGTTTTTAAATCAATTGCTTGAGGGGGAAAAATATATATCAAAATATTTAATATGATACATATTTACATAAGTCGCAAATATTCCAATTTTGCTATTGATTTTAACAAAGGTTTTGTTCTTTTACTAGATGATAGGCCTCGCTCAGGGAGTAATGGATGTTACCATTCCATATGTGATGGAGAGGAAACAATTTGGAAAACCCATATGGACATTTCAGGTATCTATATTACATTATACTAATATTCTTTCACATATTTATCATGGGTTTTCTATATACACTTGCGGCAGTTTGGCGCAGCGGTTGAGGTTTGGGCTTACAATCATAAGGTCGGGGTTTCGAGTCTCCGCTGTGCAGATTTGCTTGTGTCCTTGTGCAAGGCACTTTAGCTACATTGCTTCAGTCCACCCAGCTGTATTAATGGGTACCAGCAAACTGCTGGGGACTAACCTGCGATGGACTAGTGTCCCATCCAGGGGAAGTACAACTCTCATCCACTTCACACTACAAAAACTGGGGATAAGCTCCAGCCCTATGAGCCCCAGTGGCTTTTCTATATACACTACATGCATATATATTGCTTTGACCATTGTAAATTCTAATTTTTTTTTCCCGATATACAGTTTTTTCTGACATACTGTTAATACCTCCCAATTATCTGAATTATGACATCTTTATGATGTACTGTAATGGGATTATTTTTAAGTATCTATTTTGCCCATGTTATATACTATGAATATGTATTTTTTTAATAGAAAATAAAACTCAGGATATTCAGTACTTTTATGACTAGTTTATTTGTGACAGTACACAAGCTTTCGTGTACACAGTGCACTTCTTCAGGTGAATGTGTATTTTTATGTTACTGTAAGTTAGCCTACATCGATTGTTCTTTCAAAGATGATATTCCACTTTCTAAAGGTTTTCATTTGTCATTTTGATTGTAGTATTTTGTAATCTGACAGCAGGTTTTTTTACAAGCTCTGTTTCAGTTTTTTGCACTGCCTTCAGGTTAAAACTAAAACATTTTAAAGATAGAAGTGAAATGAGCATTGTTCTATCAATCAGTGATTTGCAGTGTCTGGGCTTACTGTTTAACATCTTTGGGAAGAAATTGGAAATAAAATTATCATGCACGTGTGAATTGCTTATTTACATCTATACTAGATGATGAAAGTCATTATATATCTTATTGTTCTTGTTTGCTAATATAGTACATGTTGGAAATACACACCCACTAGTGACAGCATAATTTATATATGTTTTACTTTTGTTGCTTTTTAATCAATATATTTGTTCCTTCTGTTATGTTTAATCATTTTTTTGTGTGACATTCCTTGGATTTAGTCTCATTCAGGAATAATCTGATAGACTTGTGTACTTTTAATCTACATTATTACTTTTTTTTTAAATAATTTCTGCTGCTGTTTTTATTTTATATACAGGGCATGCAGCATCAAATTGCTGATGTTGCCACAAAGATTGAAGCAGCAAGGCTTCTGGTGTACAATGCTGCAAGGATGAAAGAAGCTGGAATACCCTTCGTAAAGGAGGCCTCCATGGCCAAGTACTATGCATCTGAGGTATCCCTTACTCAATTTTGAGGCCCTGTCCTCTGTTTTATACCCCATATACAGTATAGTCATGGTGTGCCTGTATATCCATGGTCATGATATCATATCATCGTGACCATATTTAGCCAATGTCATATGTTTGGGTCAATTAAAAGTTTATAGTTTTTACAGGGCTCAATATGAAAATGCTGTACCCGTGCTGAGAGGCACATCTTCGCAGCCACAGGAAGTTCCAATTGGAAAAAGTAGAATGAGAAAAAATTACCTTGTAAATTAATATTAGGTGCCTGTATGTTGTGTCGCAAAAAACCTCAAGTTAGCTGTTAAATCTTTTGTTGTAAATCTGTGAAAAATGAATTGTTTTGATCTGTATTAAAAGTTTATAATTTATTGAATGGTTTTTTTTTTTTTCATTTGTTTTATTCATTCATTTCTTTATTTTCACATGATAACATTTTACCAGCAAGAAATGTGCAATTCATTTTTTTTTTTTTTATGAAATTTTTGTTGGGGCTTTTGTTTTTTATGTTTCACCTCAGATAGTATAACTTTAAAAGACCAAAATGTATGTACAACAGGAGTGTCCTGCAAATCGGGAAGGTATCCCGCACTCCCGCGAGCAAGCAAGAATCTCCTGGAAAATAACACATTTCCGCAAATGGACAATATTTGAATGTTTACCAGTATTTAGTACTGTATTATAACTGTGGTATCGCAGAAGTCGGTGCCAGTTGGTATAACCATCCACAGCAGAATATAATCAGATGTGTTATGTAAGTTCATTTAAACAGATCTCTCGGATGTTGCTTCTTTCAACTTGGGACCTCTGATACACTATCAAGGCAGTATGCATGCTGTGGGTGTAAATGATGAGTTTTATTTGGTTTTTCAAGGAAGCGATAGATAGTTCTATATAATGTTTTGGAATGAGTGCAGTAGGAACAGTTTGGTTTCCCAAACTCGAGGTTGAGGTTTCAATCCCTCGCTGTACATTTCGCTTATGTCCTTGAGCAAGGCACTTTTTCTGCATTATTTCTCTTTACCCAGGAGTATAAATGGGTACCTGGTGGGGTTGCCTGCCCCTGCGCTGATTACCAGCAGCAACACTTAAGCATGTGAAACCCATGACCAGGGAAAAGAAGCGCTTATTATCTGCAAAGAAAAGGGGCTATATAAATGTTATAAATAATAATTTAATTGAAAAGAACAGGTGCAGAAATTAAATGACCTGTCGCTAATTATTTTTGCTTGGAGGCTTATACTGTAGTTTTGTTTTTTAATTGATTTGTTGCAGTGGTACTCCCAAAATTGATTAAGTGGCTGATTAATTGGTAGATTGATTGATTGGTTGATTGGAGTTTGATAAATTGATTAATTTAATTGATTGATTGGATGTTGATAAAAAATTGATAGATTGATTAATTCATTGATTGATTGGTTAATTGATTATTCGCTGAATTGGAGGTTGGTTAATTGGAGGTTGATATATTGATTAATTGAATAATTGGTTAACAGTATTGATTGATTGATTGTTAGCTTATTAGATTGATTGATTATCATTGGTTTCTTTACTACTGCACAAGTGCCATGTCCGTAGCAAACACAATTTTTTCTGTTGTTTTGTAGGTAGCAACATTGGCAACTTCTAAGTGCATTGAATGGCTTGGTGGTGTAGGCTTTACTAAGGACTTCCCAGCAGAAAAATTCTTTAGAGATTGCAAAATTGGTAAGTTTATCCATGGAAAGTATCTAATTAAATTTTGTTTTGCTTGAGCAACAAGTGGATAAGCAAATTTGAACAAATACAACTGTAAATAAACACATTAATAACTGAAATAAATAATACAGTTAGTGGGCAATTTTATTATTACTTTTGCGAAAGAGAAATATGTATTCACGCCTGTCTTTCTGTCCATCTGTCTGAATGTTAGTAAGATTACACAAAATCTAAGGAATGGATTATCATAAAATTTAGTGGAATGGTACATAATAATCTAAAAAAGAGATGATTAACATTTGGGAATAAAAGGCCTACAAGCAAGAAATGAATTGGTTTGTTTTGAACTCAATAATTCATTGGCCTCTACTAAAAATTATATAAGGAATTGCTTAGCTTTTAAAAAGAATCAATGTTATCAATCTAATCAGAAACATTTTGAAAAAAGGTATAGTTTTTTTGATATACATCCATTTTACTAAGAATATCTATGAACCAGTGGCAAATCATAAAAATATAGAACTGTATTTTTATATGTCTATTATTACTGTAGGATGGTACAGGCTGTGTATCTTGAAAAAAAAAAAAAGAAAAGGCCTGGGGACAACAAGGTCATGGTCATGGAAATTTGATTTTATTTTCCATTGAACTTATCTTTAAAAAATAAAAAAATAATAGTATCACCCATACACTGCCTGCTTATTATTCAGTATACAGGGCAGAGATATTCAATTTATAGAGTGACTGCTCTAGTATTTAAAATATGTTTCCAATTCTGTCCACAGGCTGTATATATGAAGGTACATCAAACATCCAACTGAATACAATTGCAAAGCAGATTGAATTGGAGTTGAAAAGTTGAAAGAAATTCTACCTTTGGCATTTATCATAATATGGTAATTGGTAGGATATTTCAAAAGTATGTGTTTTTGAAAGGGTAATTTATGCTACTATTAGAGGTCTGTAACAGTAAAAGGAAATATTCTTGTTAGTCTGTGTTGAGATTGGTTGAGTCTAGACATGCATAATACACACAAGGCCAAGCCTTTTTCTATATTTATTACAGCCAGGGAAACTTCCTAGCCTTTCCATATCATGTTTTAATGACACCATGCTGCTTTGACTAATATTTTTATCTGCAGCCCATTAGTATTACCATGATTCTAAATGAGGTTGTGGAGGGGGTGTTTATTCAAAACGGGGCATTCATTTCAATGCATATATATTAAAAGTTTTACCATGATTAGTCTAGTTTGAACAGCCCAGGAAACTTCTTTCAGGAAAACTTACCGAGACGAGTGGTTAGTTTAATTGAGTGGATTGTGCCCAGTAAAACTGACAAGGTTAGATTTACTGAGCCAAAAAAACATGTCTTAGTTAAACCCCTGAGTTATTTAAGCATTACTCAATGGATTATGTCGCGGATTAGCGTCCACAATTCAGAGCTCAGTTAGTTTTACCGTTTCTCGCAGTAAAACTAACCAGATCAAAAAATCAATGTGCGGACAGAGCCAAGATTTACCTATTTGGATGTTACCCACGGTCTTGGTTGGTAAAATCTTACTTTTTCTAAGTCCAATGCGATTGTGGCTTTACAAAAAATATATGGATTTGAAAGCAATATTGTTTCATTACAAGGTCCTGATACATTAATAACTTATAGACCAAGCCTCCAACCAGGAGAAAAGTATATTTGGCAAGGACAAGCCAAACCAGTCACTCGATTTTTCATTACAGTTATTCATACAGGGTTACCAGTAAAATGAGAGCTATAAAATCTGACATTTCCTTATGAAGTGTTTAAACAACAGCTGTTTAAAGAACAATATTTGAGAATCAGTCTGCAAATGATTTCGGGCATTTCTCACGCAGAAACCATCATCAAATCCTTAAAAAGTGTTGTTTTTAACATTGAAAATTGGGGAAACAACAGCACAGCATGATGTATAGATATATAAAGGTTAGTTTAGTGCAATAAAATAATTTCAAAAATGTTGATATTCCCTCATGTTTTTAAGCATTATCTCAGAAACGTGATTTGCAAGGAGTTTGGCTTGTCTTCGCCACATATTATTTATTAATATTATATAATTTGTTAGACTGATTGAAGAAGAGTGTTGTATAGGACGGCGTAAGAGTCTTGCCTTCCAAAACAACTCGCTCGCATTCATAATGAGCCTTATTTTTTGTAAAGAATCTGGTGTGCATTTGTCTTGTAAAAAGGTTTGCTACTGAAAAAGTGTGTTTAGCAATATATATATATGGCCAAATGATGAATAAAAAAAAATTGGGTATATGTGGACTATATACTGTAGGCTTAAAACCACTCTAAAACCACAGAAGCTTATTTTATTATCAGGGTCCTATCTGAATTAATAATTATATTAAAGTACCGTATTATTATATATAATTACCATATTTATATCCGGTGAGAAATGAGAAGCATTTATTATTGAGAAGGGTTTTTGAGGGGGAGATGTTTATTCGAGGGAGGAGATTATTTTTTGGTTTATGTACTCAATGGATACTTGTACTCAAATGAATCTCACTGTAAGCAACACATAATTATCATCAAAATGTGTTATTGCATTATCATAAAGACTTACTGATCCCAACCAGCTACTGGAGTAGAACATTAATAGAATGTGTTAACAATGATTTTGCTTCCATTTAGTTTTGTTTGCAGTCTTTTAGGAGGCATGTATTTGAGGAAAAACTAAATGCTTTGGGGCGTTTATTCGAGGGAGGCATTTATTCTAAATGAGATTCTGAAGGGGTGTTTATTCAAAGGGTGGAGGATTTTATTTAAAATGGGGCATTCATTCGAATACATACAGTATATACAGTATATTAAATGTACATAATGTCCTTGTGTTGAAACCGAAAATATTAATCTCAGATAAGATATACTCCAAGTATCGAAATACACGCCATCTTGTCGGAATTCAATATTTCGACATTAATTATGTCATCATTCCTGATGATGACAAAATTAATGTCGAAATATTGAATCCTGACACGATGGCGTGCATTCATTGTGTTGGGTTGGTTAATCTGGGTTTGTGAATCAATTTTTAAAATGTTTGTACTATATCTCAAAAAACTGCAGCCAAGCATTATTTTCAACCGATTCTACCTAAATGATAGTTTCGGCAAAGAACATAAATAGCAGAAGAATTAGCTCTTCGCGTAGTTTGCATTAAATTTGATGGAACGTCCGCCCTCTCTAGAATGGAGGAAAATTATTTCATAAAGTGGAGAAACTAATGAAAACAAACGAATCAAAGAGTTATCCAACCAATCAAAGATAAAGCGCCGACACTCGGATGGAGGAAAATTGCTCTCATGGGGGCGTTCCACTATATCGCGAACTGCTCTATCTTTTTCTATTTATTATCGTTGGTTTCAGCGACAAATAAAATGCTGATACACTTCTATTCTGTGCCCGCACCAGTCATCAATCATCTGATCAGAATCCCCTAATCAGTTTTGGTGACGTCATCATGACTATCCTGACTATTATTTGTCACCGAACTGATACTTATCAGATCGTTTAGTTAGAACCGGGTGTCATTTTCCTTTTTTTTTTTTACATCAAGTACTGTAAATGACCCCTGATACATTTTTATCCATTTTATTTCATTATTTACTGCTATTTAGAGCGATATATTTTTCACAGAATATTATATCTAAACTTCGCTGTGTATTTGCATAGTATCTATTAGGTTTCGATGGTATTTGAGTTTCTGTTATTAGAAATGAATGAATAAATTGATTATTTTAAAATAGAAAGATTATGAATAAATCTTTAATTTCTTTTTAAGAATAAAATACAATCACTCAGAATGACAACATTTAATTACAAGACTAAAGATTGTAAAATAGATATTCAACTGCACTGTAAATTTATTATTTAAAAAATGACACAAATATGAATACTTCAATCAGTTTATCACTTTTAAATAATGCACTTTTGCGCTTGGATATTGTTGCTAAAGGTCCCACAAAAGGACACTGTAAAGACATACGTCCTGATGTCTCAACTCTTGAAACTTCCAACAATTTAGGAGTTTGAAATGCTTATTTAATATAATCTATTTTACAGTCCCACAATCTGTAGATATGACAGACTTTCTTTTTCTCCCTGAAAACAGCCAGAGGTTAGAGTTCAATGTAATTATATCAAATTCCTAAAATTCCTAAATACTATACAACCTACCAGTACTAGAGTAATTATAAATTGTACGATACAATGCTAATAACACGAACTAAATAATTAAAAATAATAGGCCTACAGTAATAAAAAATAATTTTATAACACATTTAAATTATACACAAAATCATAGATTTCATAGATAGAAATTGAAAAATAGTAATAAACATAATAATCAGTTGCCTTATTGGAAAAGTTGTAGGCGCTGAATAGAGAACAATGGGAGCCCTCTGTGATTTATTTTAAAATAATTCTATAGTTATGTGCATTGACCAAGGCCTGATAATAAATCTGGAGAGTTTGTATAATATAGAGCGGCAAAAGAAAAAGACTGTTCGCCAGTACGAACATGCAGCATACTGTTAACAGATAACCTCTGAGAATTTGACAGTCCTGTGGAACGTAAAGATAATTGTTGTGAGATTGATGAAGAAAGATAGTGTGGAGCATATCCATATGAGCATTTATGAGTGAGTAGAATAATTTTAAAGTTTAGACTTTTTCTTATCGGTAGCCAATGAAGGTCTTTCAGGATAGGTGAAATATAGTCTCGAAGTTTAGTGAGACAGACAACACGTGCTGCTGAGTTCTGAAACATAGTATAAGTCCCACATTAATAGAGAGTTAACAGAAATGAATTTTAGTGGTGATAAAAGCATGGACGAGTGATTCAGCTACAAAAGGTGAAATTTATAGACGAACAGATTAAATTCGTCTAAGGTGAAAATATCCAGGTTTACAGGTAAAATGATTTTCGAACAGTACACCCAAATTACGTGTAGTAGTTGACGACGGTATTGAAACCCTCTAAGGATATCTGAATTAGGGGAATAAAAAAATGCTCAGTCTAGATTTTGGAAGTATAGTAAGTAGTTCTGTTGTTCGTGAGTTTCATTGTAGTCGTCCATATGATAATGGAAGAAATACAAGACTATTGAATAAAGAGTCGATGCAATGTCAGTAGAGTTATTAAGATCAACATGTTTCATCAGCAAATGAAATTTAATGCCTTGTTGATGTTAGAAAGGCCAGAAGTGTAGCAGATAAACAAAAGGGGCCCAAGTACGCTACCTTGCGGAACACCATGCTTAAAGAAAAACAGTGTGTTGGAAAATTTAGACCCAACATTAGCACTAAGACCTGGAATCAAGGTAAGAGTACTATAGTAAATGGAGATATTGTCAGAAATGTCAAAAGATTCTTTGAGAGTGTTCAGCAATAAAGCGTGATCAATTGTATCAAACGCTGATGACTAATCTAACAAAACCAAGATGACACCTGTGGACCCGTAAAGAGAGAACAAGACGCTATTGGCAATACATACAATTATTTGTACTACAATTTGGAAGAAAGATTTGCCTGTGTGCTGCTAATACCAAATAGCCTAATAAAAAAGAAATACTCTATTAATCTTTCTTTTTTTTGTTTTTAACCTTTATTTGTTGTTAATTATTATTTTAACTATTATTCTTCCATTCTTTTGGCCGAGCCCTTCAGGCTCGATACTAACAAATGTAAAAAATACATCCATTATGATATTAAATGCGTTGCACAGGGTCCAAATTAGAAGACAGTCGAGAATGTACTAAATAAAAAATATATAGGCCTATATTATTATTTTTGTAATAAGGATTAACAGGTAATCTTAATTTTTTTTTCAAATATTTTTCCAACAATCTATCGTTAAGCCTGTATTCGGGCATTAAGATTGCCGTTGGTAAAGAGAATGAAACTGTGATCCCATGCACCTGACCCCAGTTGGATCCACTCCCGCAAAACCAACCTCATCCCAGTGGCAATCCTATACTTAAATACTATATGGTATTTTTCTATTTATCATTACTACAAAAAATGAAAATGTTTATTCGGTACATTCTCGACTGTCTTACAAATGTGGACCCCTTCCGATTTTAGAAGGGTGCCATATGCACTTATCGGGCGAATCGAGTGGCCGCTATAGCTACTGTAGCCTTAACATCGGTGCTGGATCGAGCCGTTCCGTTCGACCAGGGTTCGATTGGTAAAACCAGGTCTTCTCGGATAAGGACTTAAAATAGAGGTCAAGTTAACACGTCATCTGGCTCATGTGCACTTGTTCGAGAGTATATGTTGATGATGCTATGGTTTATTTCAGCCCCTGTCATTGTGGAATGATGTGAACATGTAGGGGCCTCTTTACGGCGGCTGGTAGTCATGGACCACTGCACCCATACGCAATTCAGCACAATGACGCTGCGAGATATAAGTTTCTGTATTCTCGTACCTTTCCCCATTTAGTTTTTTTCTTGAGGTCGTAAATCAACCATCTCTGTTGTTCCAAAATTAGAAATTTCTTCACTATCATTTAACAGAGGTGAGGAATCTTGTTTCGGAATCGCAGCATTTGTGTCGACCACTGCGTTGCTGTGATGGTAACCATAGCAGAAATATATAATCAAACCTAAGTAATAAGAATAAACGCAATGAAAATTCACACAAAAAACCCCCAGAAAGAATAAAGGCCTGTTTACAGTATCACTATAGCGATCAGCGATAAGAAGCTAAAAAGGAATTTTTCATATAGAAAATAAAAGAAATTAGAGAAGTTTTCACACTAGCACGATTCGATTACGATTTATCGTGTATACGATAATACAATATTTTCACAAATAGAATCAAATGACGTCATAAGCATGGGAAAACGATAAAATCGTATGTATGAAATTTTTCAATAGTGTTGATCCAGCAAAATAAAAACCAATAGTACTCACAATAGACCTCAACAACACCGAGGTGACGTCATACCAGACTGGAAATAACATCACCAGTCTACTTGAAAAAGCGAACGGATCGTTCGCGAAACGTAGTGTGAGTACTATTGGTTTTTATTTTGCTGGATCAACACTAATGAAAAATTTCATACAAATTATATTTGGATCCAAATGAATTTATTTCAAAAAAGATAAAATCGTAGTAGTACAAACGATTTATTTTGTGTTATTTTTTATATGAACAATTGCTTTTTAGCTTTTTATCGTTGGTCGCTATCGTCATAGTGTAAACAGGCATTTAGGCTTTCTTATAGAAAATTGTTCATGTAGAAAATAAAATAAATAAGAGAAATGTTCACACTAGCACGATTCGATAGCGATTTATCGTGTATACGAAAAAAAAAATTTAATAATTATTTCACAAATCAAATCAAATAACATCATGATCATGGGAAAACGATAAAATCGTAGTAGTACCATACGATTTTGACGATATTTGATTTGATTTGTAAAATTATTTTTTTTTATCATATACACAATAAATCGTTATCGAATCGTGCTAGTGTGAACATTTCTTTTATTTTCTACATAAACAATTGCTTTTTGGCTTTTTATCGTTGATCGTTATCGTCATAGTGTAAACAGACGCATTTAGGCGTCGTTCCTGATAATGCTTAAAAATAGCGAAACGTAGAATAAAAATGGCCTTGTCAATTTATGGGGTGACATTCACACTAATTAATTTTTCTCAAAAAAAAAACAAAAAAAAACAAAAAAAAAAAACAGTAACCACCATTTTTTCCACCGTTCCCCCAGTTTTTGAATATTCAAAAATCTGCCATTAATAATCTCATTGAAGTTTCCGTTTTTCGTCTCAACCACCATCATTATGTCCTAGAAAAATCAGTTGTGCAGCATATTATTTTTTCTCCGGGGCCTGGCTTTACTATTAATTTGTTTTACAGTACAAATCATGATACTTCTAATATAAACCCTGTGTCACTATTCTATTGTTGTTTAGGGATGGTTACAATTAGAGTATGAATTATCTTAAAATAATGACAACATAGATATATTTGGGTGTGTTTTGGTTGTGTTTCCTCCCCATTAAGATTTAAGCAGTACATAAACGATGTTTTACAGTTATATAGTGACTATAAAGTGAAGGTGGTACATTCTTCTCGATTTAGAGATAACGCTCTCACAATTAAAATAAAAATTAATGACCATTAAAATGATAAGCAGAATAGTAATGAAGTGGAAGGATGTAATGAGAAGAAAACTGCATTTGCCCCAATACATTTTATTTCATTTCATTTATTTCGCCTTTTTTTTTTTTTTTTTATCAAATAATAGCCAAAATTAGATAAAATACAATTTATAAACTGGTGGCAGCCACAGTGTGTGCGCTGAACTGTGGAGATCTCTAGATCTCCGGTCAATTGGCATTACTGCTCTGCTTGTGTTTTAGCTGGAGGGCTGAAATACAAGTTGCGATAGTGCACCGTCTTTCGGATAAGACCTTTAAGCCGCTGATCCCGTGTGCAAAATATCCAATGTTTACATATGAACACAGTAAGCTTTTCGGAAAATAGTAGGGATTGTCTCCCGGTGTACTGCCTCCAATTCACCACCAGAAGGACCACACTGGAAATAATTCGTCGGACTTAGTGGGTTACCATTTGTGTGAGATTCACACCAAAATACTCCTTCCTTCCATCATTAGTGTAGAGAAGATATTTATTAATGTATTGCCATTCAACAATTTACTTATCTATAATATCTCAAGAATACAAACCTGCTAACAACCAGACAAGAAATTTCGACCAGGATTCGGCTGGAATATTCACCAAGAGACAAATGTTGCACAGGATAGAGATAAATGGAGCAAACGGAACCCATGGAACCTGTAACAAAAATCACTAATATTATTAATATATAATATATATAATATTAATAACATACAGTATATATATATATATATATACATATACTTACATACACACACACACACACACACACATATATATATATATTAGATGTGTATAAGAGACAGATATATATACCGAGACTACTCATCACACATTTGGGTTGGGAATCGGAGATTTTAAAGCAATTATAAAATTGTTTAAGTACTGCACTTCCTACCGAAATCGAATTCACACTATACGGTATGCCGATACAACACTAGTTTTCGAAGCACACCGTGAAACGGAGATACAGCCTTTTCCTAAAGACGAGAGCGCTTCAAAACTTACCTTTATAGGGGGGTCGTCGTTATTTTTATGGTGCAGCAGTATGATACCAACACTTACAATCGATATTATAGAGAGTACTGACATCAAAATCAGGGTTAGTCCTTTATTTATGAGTGTTGAATATTTGAAGAAAATAAGCAAAAAACACCATGAACATATGATGAATATGGCAAGACAAATCACTACCACTCGTCCTGGAATCTGACTTTCAAGAAAATGCAGATATTTGAATTTCTCTTTCAATGTACCGCCTATTATTACTGGTTCATTTTCCTTTTCCGAGGCTGTCTCCCCCTTGTCTATTTTGAAGAACATACTGTTTTCTTGAACAGGCCTGTAGCGGAGAATTACCACTAATGCAGCCACAACAAGGTATGACGTAATGCTACCGATATTCAATAGATCGACAAGGGAATCAAATGGTATAAGTAAGGCGACGAAAAATGTTACTACAAACGAGACAATTGTTGAAGCTATAGGTACTTGATTGCGAGAGACACTTGCTAGAAACGAAAACAGAAGTTTGTCAACTGCCATTGCATAGGTAAGTCTGGTGACTCCATACATACTTGTGAGTCCACACCCTGTAATCCCAAAAAGGATTCCTATGGTTATCAGGTATGTTGGAAATACGTCTCCATATTGCATAAACGCTTCTGGAATGGGTGAAAAATGATTGATTTCCGTCCAAGGAACAATCAAAGTAAGGCACATTCCAGATGCAATTGCAAAAATAGCATAGACTACAATACACAATACCAGTGCAATTGGTATACTCTTCATAGGATCTTTGCATTCTTCACTTGATGTACAAATGACTTCAAAACTTCCAAAAAGAAAAAATAGTTTTGCAGCTCCCGCTATTACACCTAGCATTCCAGTTGGCATAAATCCTCCATAGTTGCTCCAATTTGATACATCGATATACTGCAAACTGTATCCGATGAACACAATCAAAACTGCCATCAAGAAATATATCATAACATTTATAAACTTTGAGAAACTGCTGATACCACATAATAGTACAAGAGTATATAAACAGATGAACATACCGGCTATTATATTTGGGTAATGAACGAAGTAGGGTGACTGCCATTCGTGTCCACGCAGCAACAAATCAACTGTGATATTCTTCATAAATCCATTGAAAGTTGTGTCAAGTATCATGGAAAAGGTAGATGCAACGCTAGTAGTAGCTGCCATATATTCCAAAATCATTGCCCAACCTATGACAAAAGCCCATATCTCACCGGCCACCATGTATACATATACATATGCACTTCCAGATCTCGGGACTCGACTGCTCAACTCTGCGTAATTGAGAGCAGACAGTAGGGCACAGATCGCTGCTATCAAGATAGAAAGAGTGACGGCTGGGCCTGCTAAAGTGTTTGCTACAGAACCGACCAATATAAATATACCAATACCCATATTATGAGATAGACCTAAAGAGGTCAAATCAAATGTTGTCATATATCGCTTTAAGTCGGTGTCCAACGTGTTGACACGTAAAATCCTGCGACGGTTAACATTTTCTTTGAAACCTCTCAGCAACTCCATTATTACAGATTGACTCTATCTCCAAACAAGTGGTGGTGAAAGGTATGGCATTGGGGCTACGGTATTATAGGCCTAAATAATAGTCAATTTGTTAAGTGATGCTTGAAAAATACAATCGAGTTTGTCAGTTATTCAAGTGCTTATTCATGGGCACTAGTGCATTACCGGTTACACTGTGCTTAATATTAGGTCAAATAAAAGCCGTAGCAAAGCTTAATTTTAACAATAGCCGATGAAATCAGAAATTTAAAAATAGGTCAAATTTACAAGCTATGTCAATATTTGCAGAGGCGGCGCCAGGAATTCTCCGAAGAGGGGTCCAAGCTCCCCGACAAGGGGTTTTCCCCCTCCTCCTCCTCGGAGAAAAATTGTATTGAATATTCTTTATTTAAAATGATAAATTGATAGAAAACCATGCAGGTCAAGAGGCCCCCTGTCGGGGGTACTTACCACTTGTCGGAGGTACCAGCCCCCTGTCGGAGAAGATCTGGCTTTACCACCGCAACCCATACGATCGTGCTAGTATACAGCACCTCGTACATACGGTAGCACTGCTCGCACTAAACAGTTTTTAATCCCTAAATTGACAGCTTAGTAAGGCATACTTAAATAGTACTTTCGGCGGTCGGGATTTCAATTTTCCCCGAGACCTCTTGCTGGAAATTCCCTGACAGGGGAGTCCAAGCGGGGGTCCCTTGCCCCCTGGATCCCCGCTAGCGCCGCCCCTGATTATTTGTATGTCTTTGCCATTGTTATTGTCATTATTATTTTCATTTCCATTGTCACTAAGCATATTATCATAATATTATCATCATTATCAGTATCATCATCATCTTAATTTTCTTTCCTTCTCGTTCTTCATCATTGCTGTCATCATCATGCTCATCGTGAGCGTCAGCATCATTTATGTAAGCTATGATTCATCTTTCTTTTATAAATTGTTAAATTATTATAAAATATATCGGTGGTACTGAATTCATTGCAAATTGTCATATAAAATTGAAAATCTATTAATGAACCAATGTTGGGTGATTTTGATTCTGGAATAAGAACCTGAGAAAAGTTTAGTAATGACGTTTCGACACTGTTTATTGTTGAATTAGGTTTAACAGATCAACCAATAAATATGTAAGAATTTAACTTCACTAAATAATATCTTCATTTCCTCCAAACTTACAAGGTCATACAAAAAAGAAAGGGGGGGGGGGTGGAGTCAGAACAAAGGATACCTGATGTTTTTGTCTGCCCTGACATAAGCGACTCAATAAATAACTATTGACATATCAAGATGAGACAAAAGCGCATTCTTAAAAGAAAAATTGAATCGCATTGACGAATTTCTATTGGGAGGGGTCCACAACGCTGGCACACGGCCGAGAAATGAAAATCTAATGGTATTCACTGAACAAAAGAAATGGAGATATTAGGAATGTCCCCTCCCCCACATCTAGATGTGTATAAGAGACAGGACCTAAAGAGGTCAAATCAAATGTTGTCATATATCGCTTTAAGTCGGTATCCAACGTGTTGACACGTGAAATCCAAACTAAAGTACCGTAGCTTTTTTCTTTTCTTCAAGAGAATGTAATCGAAGTTTATCTAATCAAGAATAATTTAAATAATTAACGCGATCATTGTCAAAATAATGTTGGTTGACTAGTAAGAATCGAGTAAAGTCTTTTTTAATCCTCTCAACTATATCAATGTTAACTTTCATATATGGATTCCAAATTGGACAGGCATATTCCAGAATAAGGCGACACAATGTAGAGTACAAAATCGATGAAATGTTAGGGCGACTAACAGTGCGTTTAATGAAACCAATGGTTTTGGAAGCCTTGAAACAACTAAAATAATATGTGAATGCCATTTATGAGGTCTGATTGATTTATAACAGCAATATATATGTGATTGTTAACAAAAGTTAATTGGAAACCAAAATTGTAAGTGAAATGAAACGAAATTAAGCCGCGAGAAATAAATAAAAGAACTGATTATACTGACTCAATTGGAAGTTGCCTGAAATATTATTAACATGGATCATTAGTTTTATCTATGATATGTCTGAAAAGTTCGTTACAACTCCTCCTTTTAGTCAATGTTCATCGAACATGTCGTCTTCCTCAAGGGATTAAAATAGGCCCAAAACATGTTCCTGGCTTTAACTGATTAGCAATGAAAATCCAGTTTAGGCCGCTGTTATCACAATTTGAGTGGCGGTATTCATCAAAAACACAGTCTATATAATCTCATTATAAGGTAATGAAAATTCATTACCTCATAACACCCAGAAGCTCTCTGTGTCGCCAGCAGTGATGTACGTTTTTTAAGTTACAGGATTGTTTGTGTTAACGTTCGTATACTCATTATATGAGTAAATGGTTTGTTTCGTAACTATCTAAATATTTCAAAAAGTGATTGCAGCACGAGAAATACTACAGTGCAACTATAATGACAGTTAAGCTGAAAAAAAGATGACTAAAACAGGTCCGTATCCAGGTCAGTGGGGGGGGGGGGTGGATGGTGCGATGAGTACGTAATGGTACGCACCGCCCTTTCCACTTCCAAACCGGAAAAGGTCCACATTATTAAGACAATTGAAAATGTACTATAAAATGTCTTATTTTCTGTAATAAAACTTACAAGGGGAATCAATAGTCATTTTAACCACTGTAATCTATCGGAACCCCTATAATGCCCAACAATACCAAAGCTACGATCCAACAGGCTCCTCCTCTTGACCCTGTCTGGTTCTAGCGATCCCCATACACCGTTGGTTTATTTTTACCAATTTTAATGTAGCTTCGGGTAAATTTTAAAGTTGACTTAATCCAAATAATCCAAATTTAATCCTTTTGCACATTTTACCCGTTCCTGTTTTGCTTGTATTTTAAATAATTTTGAATGGTTTTAAATGCTTTTTTTTATATAGTTTTATTGTGAACGCACCGCATGACGTGTGCCACTGATTCAAAAGTGTATTTTTCAAATAAAGTTATTATATGAGGACTTGCAGAAATCATTAAAATTAGTCTTTTAGTTCTTCAAAAGTAGGCCTACAGAAATTTTGCAGGGCTTTTCGCTGCAAGATCAAGGTGGTGGCTCCCTGGCCAAGCTTGCATAAGTTCCTGTCTTCCTAATTGCTTGATTTGTTCTGAAGATGTTATAAATGATTAAATATAGAAACCACTCAAATTAGTTTACCACAACATCGAATCCACTGTATATTTTTGCCGGGGCCTTCGCACCTGCACTCCGACCAGGGGGCCTTTTGTGGTTTCCTGTCCATAACCATGGGCTCACTTTGCACTCAATAATCCCTTGAAAACGTGCCGTTGTCATTACTATTATTATAATCATAATCATCATCATTATCATCATCATCATCATCATCCACAACAACAAAATTTATCAAATTTATTGAAGCTCTAGTTCCGCCCATTGTCTGATTGTTAGGGGATCCGTTTCACAAGATACAGTACCGGTACTAAGTATCCAACAGGCATCGTGAGGTCTGGATTCGCGCAAAAGCACTGGACAAGGCAATACTTTTAATCATGTGTGCTAACCTACCGTATACCCGTTTCAACAATTTGTGACTTGGTGCAAAAACTTGACAAATTTAACTGCTTCAAACGCTTAGACTTCCGTTTCATTTTCAAGAAAGCAATTAATAACTATTGAAATATCAAGATGAGACAAAAGCGCAATGAAATCATTGTCAAGAAAGAAATCTGTTGGACTGAAAAAAAAACTGTTGAACTTGATTTCTCAACAGTATAGGAATGAATGTAGAAGACCTAGAATCAGCACTAAATACGGCGATTTTCGGCAATCATGGAGATCTAATTAATCGCTGTGAGGCAGCATAGACAATAAAACTTAAAAACACTGTTTTTGATGTATTTACTTTACTTTAGTTAATTAAGCCATAGCGATTGTGCCGAAAATCATTTTTTTCTTTAAAAGGTTCTTTCTCATAGGCCTACTTCTCAAATTATAATAAAGGCACGCACAATCGCGTCTTGTATCAGAGGTAATTCAGATGTTTGTGAGCAGCAATATTGGTATCTTGCTTTAAGATAAGATATACTCTGGCTGTACACAGAGCTCTTTTGTTAAATGTGGATCATTTACGCATTTCATTTTAACAATTTCCATTCATCTTCCTGACTTATGAATTTACATTACGGCCAAAAGGTGGAGGAACCAACCCCTTAAAATGTGTTCCCTGTACCCCCCCCCCCCCTTTGCGCCCATGATCATTATTAAAGTTAATGTGTTGTATCTGAAAAATTCATATTGCTTTTTAAATGTTACCTTTTTAGATGTTACTGTATAAATAGTATTCCTGTCCTCCATGGTTATGGTACTGATACTGGTATTGGGTGTTTACATTGCGCCTTTCCCTTGCGGTTATGACGTGCAATCCAAGCCTCAATAATTCAAGAAAACAATGGTAGGCATAAAATCAGTCATTATTCAGGAACCCGAAGCATCACATACAGTCACACAAACAACAAAGACAAATAAACAGATTACAACAATAAAAACACAAAAGGAAAAAGCAGCAAAAAGAGACTTAGGCAAAAAATGTAAGTCTTGAGAGTGCACGTTTAAAAAGATTAGGATCTCAGATATCTCTAGGTCAGTTGGAAGATTATTCCAAAGTTTAGAAGCATAACAAGGAAATGAAAAACCTCCAATTCTCTTGTTGTAACGTGGTTAATGAAATGTACAGACGAAGAAAAACGTGTTGTACGTGTAGGGATATGTTGGTCGAGAAAACCATATAAATAGTTAGGAGAAAAACCATACATTTGTGAACAGTGAGAATAATTTTGAAAATAATTCGATTTAACTCGCAGCCAATGAAGTTCATCGATGAGAGGAGCAGAGTGTGTACGAGGATCACATGAAAAGACTAAGCGAGCAGCAGAGTTTCGCAATTTCTGCAGTCTATCAATGTCTTTCTTGAAGAGACCACCATAGAGTGAGTTACAATAGTCAATTCGCGATCATAGTACGAGGGCTCTAACTGCTGCATATGACAAGTATCTTGATTAACAAATCTTCGAATCCTCCACAAGTTACGCAAATTGTACCGTACACTACTACATACCTTACTCACTTGAGAACTTAATTCCAGTGTGGAGTCAAATGTGAAACCCAAGTTACGAGCATTTTTAGAGGCTTTATGAGAGATCCATTAGCATTTTGATATTCCTAACTGATGATGATGAATGAAATATTATAAAGGTATTAATCATCCTTAAGTATTCTCATGAGCTTGTTAATCTACAGTTTGAATATTTGCTACTACCACCAAGATCTGCACCCACGGCGCCTCCACGCGTGGTTTTTTTTTTTATTATTATTAAAAAGAAAATAATAAGGCAACGTTTATAACAATATACTTCATAAGGGGAGCTGTTTCTTGTTGGTTAAAATGTTTGCCTGCCAATTCATGATCCTTACTTCAAATTATGACATCCCTCATCATGCAATCCGTTTCTCTTTTTTTAAGTATGACATTGATGCGCTGTAGTTTAAGTTGTTTCTTTTATTTATGTTTGTATATAGATAGAAAATTCCGCATTAAAAGATGAATTGAATTGTATATACACTTACTTTTATCGGAGGATCGTCGTTGTTTTGATGGTGCAGCAGTATAATACCAACACTTCCA